ACCCGGGAGCAGTTCACGCATCGATAAAGGTGAAAAGTTTAACTAGCGGAGCGGGAGTTTGAACAAAGCCGGGAGGCCTTGTACAGCCGTGCATTACAACTTGACTGTGCGTACAGTTCACCGGGGGACTTGATTCAGGAAGCCTGGGCCAGGACTTGAGATGCTGCTGGTCCGGGGGCCACACCGTGAGTGGCAACGAATAGCACAGACTGGGAACCGCACACACCCGGGCCTAAGGCTCAGCTCCTCTCTGATAATGGCCCACGTGCCTTCGCAGAAGCTGCGGAACCTATCTGGGCTTCTTCTCCCAGCCGCAGCCTTCCCACAGCTGAAAGGAGAATAGTCTTACCAGCATCACTGAGTTGTTCCTAGAAAGTTTGGTCAGTGCTCTCCAAGTGTGGGTTCCATCACCATTATGATATCGCTTCATTGTGGGGACTGACAGGCTCTAGCGCGGAAGTGCTCAGCCCGTCTGCTCATCCTGGATTCCTGTCTGTCCCCTTACCCCTGACTCTGTCCCTGCTCTTGGAGCAGACCTGCCTCGTCTCATAGCAGAGGCATTAGCCTCCTTCCAAGGAGGTGGCGGCCACCGTACCTGCTTAGAGCTCAGCTGCCTGTGCTGGGTTCCCAGGGTGACGTCCTTCCATGCCAACACCCCTCATTTCCTTCTTCCTCTTCTTCTCTCACTGCAAATGGAAACCATCTCCTTTGCTTGCTGCCGTCTTTTGCAGCTGCCCTCGGAGAGCCTCGCCGACCCTCACACACTGAGAGCCTAGCAGCGGAGACTGCGTTGACCATCCCAGTGACAGTCACAAAGGACAGCCTCTCATCTAGATCGGAAGTCAGCGAACTTTCTGCTATAAAATACCAGACAGGAAGCATTTTAGGCTCTCAGCCGCGTGCAGACTCTGTCACAGCTACTTACCGCGTCGTGTGAAAGCTGCCCTAGACGATGTATAAACAAATGGGACAGGCTCCAAGAAAATGTTTACAGAAATAGCTGGGAGGCTGAGTTGGACCCCGGGGCCATAGTTTGCTAACCCCTGACCTAGATATTTAATTATTTTTCAAAAATTGGGGGAAATGTATAGGATTTTTAAAATTTATAGGTTTAGGTGGGATTTTTATTTATTTATTTATTTATTTTTTGCTTTAATCCAGATTTTATCTGTTTTTCAAACTCAGTCCTAGTAACCTTGCAGCTCAGCCACGGGTGGTATTGAGCAGGACCCATCTGCCCTTCAGCTGTATTCTCACCTTTCTCCGTGCATATTCCTATTCCAGCCTGGATGTATCTAGTGCCTTCTCTATGTACATCAGCACTGACCCGAAGCCCTGTGTGACTGTAGAAAATCACAAACTACATTTCCTGCCCTCGAGGAGCCTACAGGAAAGTCGGCAATCAAGACGGACACACTCCCAGTTGAACGTCATGTTTGCACTGTAATAGTTCCCCACCTGGTGTCCGGAGTGACTGTTCAAAGCTAGAAGTCAGATCATCCCACTTTCTGACATAGCCACCCAGTAGCTTCCCATCGCTCTGAACAGGCAAACCCCTTGCCACGCGCCATCGGCTGCGTGTGATCCAGCCTCCATTTCAGCCCCCCCGACCTCATGTCACCCAGATGCTGTGCTTGGTGCGACCTCAAGAACTTTTTCTGGTGGTTTCTTCTGCCTGTAACCTGCTCCCTGAGCCTCCCCTCGGCTGCAGATCTCAGCTTCTTTGTTAGCGTTTCCAAGAGGCCTTCCTTGCCCGCCAGCTGGGATTGCCACCCACACCTGACCACTGCCCTTCGTACTTTCTTCATGGAACTCACAGCTGTCTGAGGTTATCACTGCATTTCTGACACTCCCTGCCCAGAGTAAGCATCCGTGTCCCAGCCCCGAACAAGACCGCCTTCGCTTTAGACACAGGCCACAAGTTTGGGGGTTCCCAGGCCACCTGCTCCTCTGACCAACTGACTAAAAAGTTGGGGGTTCCCACTATCCACTCCAGATCAATAAATCACTAGAACGGCTCAAAGAACTCAGGAACACACTGTACTTATGTTTTATTATAAGGGATACAAATCGGGACTAGCTGAATAAAAAGATGCAAATGGTGAGGTGTGGAAGGGTCTCAGACTCAGACGTGGACCTCCTGTATCCGCTCCTCATGGAGTGAAGACATGTCTCCCAGCACATCAGTGTGTGTCCAGAGCTTTTATTGGGATTTCGTTAGGTAGCCATGATTGAATAAATCATGGACCATGCGACTGAATTCGATATCTGGCCTTCCTCCCTTCTGCTCCCTGGAGATCAGGCTGATGTCTGGTGGTTCAAAGCCCCAACCCTCTCACCCCATAGCTGGGCTTCCTGGCAGGGCCAGCCCCCATTTTGAAAGTGTCTGGGAGTCCACCAGGAGTCACCTCATTAGTATGAATTGAGGTGTGGACCCAGAAGCCCACCATGAGTAATAGAAACGCTCCAATCACTGAGGAAATTCCAAGGGTCTTGAAGCTCCATCTCAGGAACTTGGGACAAAGACCGCATATGTCGTTTATCATGCAACAACCTCTGCTCTTTCCTTGTTTGCATTATTACTGGCCTCAGCCCCAGCAGTAGATGGGAACGCAGGCAGAGATCTATATCACAGCTCCAAGGGCAGTGTCTGCCACACTGAGGCACTCACATGTTTGTGAGCTCATTAAATGAATATGAGTGGTTAAATAACCACAAAAGATTTAAATAAGCATTTCAGACTAACAATGGAGGCAGTGCCGCGAGGCACTCCATGATAAATTGCAGAAAACTTGCACAGACAATAATTGCTATCGGGGTCCAAGAACGGATCTATCACTTGATTTATATGCACAACTATTTTTAACCTCGCAAGGTTTTTGCACATTTATTCATCTTAACCAAATGAAAACTTTTATTCTTTTATGCCTTGAAAATCCCTTGAATCTGATGATTATCTTCAAATTAAGGATTCAAAAAAAAAAGCTCTCTGAGTTTTTATAAGTTCTCTGGCATTTCTAAATTAAGGTGCCTGTGAAGTATTAAATGTATAGAACTCATTGTTTAATTTAAATTAGATTAACCCCTCTGGCCCTGCGGAGATCCAGGCAGACTGTTGCACACTTTTGTTTACCCATGTCTCAAGGTCCTTACTGACAAAATTACAATTAGTCAGTACTTCAGACCTATTGTTAGGGTGCTAAGCTGTGAGCTATAAACCACCTCACTCTGGCATAATTAAACCGTGTTCCGGTTCACCTGCTTTACGATACCTACTTGGCTTTTCATAAAGCTTCTTTTCACAATGCTAGCTCCATTCCAGCCTTGAAAACACAGGAACTTGATTGCAGAAAACTTTTACAATAGCCCCTTTTTGACGTTTGCTGATGGTTCTGTAGTAGCAGTCATCCTCCTCATCAGGATAAAAAGCAAATTGTGCTAAAACTATTACAAGTGTTATGTAAGTTGTGTGTTATTATCATTAAAATAAATATCCTAATTCAACACTCACCAGGAGTGTGCATAGGAAACAGTACATGAATTTGTATCCAGCCATTAGCATGGTAAACAGCTCCCCAGAACTAGATTGAAAGTTTCAAATGAAAAAGAAAAGGGGACCCTCTCCTCCTATCCTTTCTGTTTATCATTGAGCCACCCCAAGAGTCAATTGTCTAAAAGTAAATTAATACCTTCCAGCTGCCTACAAGGGAGAAAATATCAGTTGCTAGAGCAATACTTCATCAAGAATCTCTCAATCCTTGCGTGTGAATAAAAAAATCAGACTCAGCAATGATAGTTTGGTCTTCTTGAGGAAGGAGAGGTTGTTTGACCTTTAATAGCCCATCTGTGCCACTCCTGTTCAGGAATTTTCTTGACGTACTCAAGCTTTAGACAATGAGATGGCTCAACAGTCTTTTCTGTAATTTCTCCGTCTGGTGATTTAAGTATTCCTTAATTCAATTCTAGTAGATTATCCAATCAATTTTGTTTTAAGGTATTTAGACCTTTAGAATTTAATTCCGAATAGGGTGCCAGTTAGGACTTGAACTTAAAATATGGCCTGTTATTTAACAGAAATATTTCACTGGTTTTCACCGAACTTGTGACTAGACATACACCTCAAATATTCCCCTCTAGTTTTCCTTCCATTGTCATCCCTGAGATAATAGGGTAACTGACTCAGGAAGTCAAGATTGCCATGGGATAACTTCATTTTCATTGGGTATGTGGTTTACTCTTATAGTTTAACCAAAGGTATTAAGTTAGCCCTGAATGTCTCGTTTTCTCCACACCAAAATCAAGCAAGCAAAAAGCACCAGAAAGCAAAAAAGCTAGCACTTCTGTTTTGTTTTTTGGGGTGTTTTTTTTAGTTTCAGGTGTACAAAACAATGTAATAGACATTTACACTCCTCACAAAGTGATAATTCCCCCCCCCCCGCAGTCTATTGCCCCTCTGACATCAAATATAGCTGTTACAATTCCTTTGATTATAGTCCCTATGCTGTGCTCCACCTCTCGTAACCATATATATGTAATTCAATTTTATATTCCCCTGTTAATCTTTCTTATGTTAATTTAATTACTAGACCGGCCAGAAGAACCCAGCCAGAAGGGTAGAGGAAACATTGTCTTCCCCACAAGAGCAGCAGTGAGAAGGCTCTTTAGAGTGGCCGAGAGCCTGTCCCTAGCTGGAATTCATTCTTACTTGTGGCTACAAGTAGGCCTGTTATGATTCTTCCTAGAGTAAAAAAAAAAAAAAAAAGAAAAAAAAAAGGATTACATATGAAGGAGGAGAAAAGGTGNGTGTCCCAGTTGCTTCTGAGCAGTGTACTGCGACCCACCCGATGGGAGGGAGAAAACAGGCCTCTAACTGTGCTTCTACTTAGCGAACCTCTGAACATTGATGGGAATGTGGGCAATTATTAGCTTGTGAAGTTCTCAGAAGAGGCGCGTTTCTAACTCAGCTCTCTGACCCTTGTCTGTCTCTCCCTGTGATTCAGGAGAAAGGACGCTGGCTTCTTATCCTACAAAGATCACCTGCCGGTGAGCCAGGTGGTGGTTGGAGACACTGATCGGCAAGGCTCTGAGGCCAAGCTGAGCGTGGGTCCCCTGCGCTGCCAAGGAGACAGTAAGTTGGCCCAGCGGCTGTGGCTTTCACTTTCTTATCAGCTTTAAATAGTGTTCCCCAGCAAATCAGAGGATGGCGCCAAGCACATTGTTCTTCTGTAACTCCTTAAGAAACGTCATGCAACACAAACAGCCAACTGGGCAGCCAGACAGACCTTAGCACAGCCGAAAGTCTCCAGTACAGGAGCCTAGGTTTGGGCAGACAATGTGCATGTCCGTCTTCCTTGTCATGCATATCCACGTGTAACAAGCTTGACTGCCTGAGTTTATGGTGACATATAAATAGTGATGCTAATAGCAAAACAGCAGCACCCAGCGCTGCGATTCTGCCAGTGCTGCTGTGAATGCCATTAGCAGACTGTTTATGCCACCATCACGGAGCTTATGGTGATACAGATAGCAGCATTGTGGTTTTTAATGTATTGTTGTAAACCGGGATTATGGTCATATAAAGTTTGACATTATTGCTATCAAATTTCATCATCAGAGCTCAATAGTCCCTTGTAAGCCAAAGATTGTTTCTGTAACTGTGTCTTGCTTTCAGGAGGGGAAATTGGGGGGCCGCTGGCTTGGACTGTGGGAAGCTGGGGAGTCAGAGTGATGGTCCCACCTAATTAAGGGCACTGCTAGGATTTGATGTTGTTTGATGCCCTTCAGTGTGCTTTCTGTGCTGTCGGAGGGGAATGGCGACAGGTTGCCGTGGGGATTCGTTCTGCAGAGAGCACCCTGGTGTCCTTCACCTCCTCTTGTCTGTGCACCTGATTTGAGCAACTCCCCTGGGAGTTGCACGCTTTTGTGGCTGTGTGCTAGGCCTCAGGAGACCTACAATAGATTCTGTTCCCTGAATAACTGACTTGCCAGGAGACCTCAGGCAAACCCTCCGTTTTCTTGGCTGTGGTAATGAGAATACCACCTGCGTCCTAACCCATCCTGAGGAGCCCATAAAGATTTTAGTGCTTGGGTCTGAATTCCTCCTAGCAAGGCATTCTGTGAGATGCAGTCTTAGCACCACGCCCATAAATCAAGGGAGAATTAGACCCACTGGATGTCACAAATTATCGCGTCCACTCCGAGAGGCGTCCTAAGGACCATAATGATGATGCTTCACTGTTTACTACTTAGGAAGTCAAGGCCATCGGCAATTAAACAATGCAGTATTCCTGACACAACAGAGAGATGGAGTTTGCACTGGTTTTCTTTCTTACCTAGAGAAAGTGAAAATGCTGCCTTTAAAATGGAGACTGCTCCAAAGAACTTTATCATGCCTTTATTAAACAATAATAGTTTGTCTAGTCAGCCTTAGTAGAACTGTGCAATAAGAAATTTGGTTTCAGTTGCTTCAGAAAAAAATACTGACATAAAAGAATAATAAATACACAATTTTAAGCAAAAATTTTGAGAGATGGCCTATAGTGTCACTCAAAATAGGCAGGTTCTCGTGTGTTACCTAGTGAAAGTTCCATTATGTCATAATTACTCATTACTATATACAGGTAAAATAGTTCTCATTTATCAATTCTAATTCTGAAGTTAGCTTTGAATTAGAGAAGGGACTCCCATTAAGTAATTGATAAACATGATATAGTTAGAAAATCTGACTTCTGCAAACTCTTGTTGCCATTCTTAGAAGATTCCAGCTACACGAAATAGTATATGTGGGAGTATAAGAACGGTTTACAGCTAATATTAACTTGTTTTACTGAATTAGTCTTCAGGAAGAATTGATCCTGTCTGTTATTTGTCTAGCACTTCCCCATGTACTCTGGTGGAACACGAAAAAGAAGTTCAAACCACATTTTGAGAAGTACACATGAGAAAAACTATTGGAAAATACAGAATGTTTTGTAATTGATTATTAGATTTTGCAATATAAAATTATCCCAACTGATGCTTAAGAAAGGAGTGGTCCATAGTATATTTCAGGCAGACTTTATATTTCAAAAGAGAAGGTAGGGAATGTAGGGTGGTCATTTGCATTTCTTTCCCAAGGCTGTTTGTTCTTGGAGATATCTTTAGGACCTATTGATAAGATAAAGAGCTAGTCC